ATAATAATAATAATAATCTTTATTTAAGCACGGTAACTCTATCAATATCAAGATAAAAAACTTAATGTTGCTCTACCTAGAGGCCGTAAAAATGGAGGATGGAGGGATGGATGGATGGAGGGAGGGATGAAGGGATGGAGGGATGGAGGGATGGATGGATGGAAGAATGGGTGGGTAAAGAAATAGATGGATGAAAGAATGCATGAAGAATGCATGGGTACGTAGGTGGATAAATTCATAAGTAAAAAGATGTACAGATGTATGGACAGACAAGCAGATAGATGGAATATGTATGGAATTTATTATCTTACCTCCCATGAGGATATCCACATTGAACGGATACAAGTTCATGTGTTGCATTCCTTTCTATCATTTCTCTGTACTTTATGAAGATGGGAGAAACTGGCATGCCATGTGCCTAGATAAAAAGTAAAGTAGCTAAAAATAGACTTTTTCTGAATTCACTTGAGTGACCATGAAATCATGGCTCCAAGTTCAGATTGGTCTTGATGTGTTCACATTATTTACAACATTTATCAAGTCCAAAACGTAAGCAAAAATTAATTCAGTAAAATAAAAAGTAACTTAAAAATTAAAGAATTTTTCCAAATTCACTTGATTGACTACGAAACAATGACAAGCAACAGGGCCGTAACTAGGGGGAGCACAGGGTGCACGTGCACCCCCCATAAAAGCTTAAGGTCCGCTCATCCATCTTTTTTTTTTTTTGGTTCTGCTTTCTTAAAAGAAACGATCAATGGCCCGATTTTATTTGATGTGCACCCTCCCTGTAAAAGTTCTGGTTACGGTTCTAAGCAAATTCAAGACAAGCACTTAGTCATTTGTTGGTAGCTAGTGCTTGTTTTGAGCCTTGTTTGGCTGTTACTGTGTGGGACATTCACGACAGAGCTCTGTAAGCTCCATGCTATAATGTACTAGGTGAAAGTCCAAAGATTGAATTAGAATTTAGAAGTTGATTTTTAAGGAGGGAGGGAAACCGGAGGACCTAGAGAAAAATCCTCAAAGCACAGGAGAAATCCAACAAACAACTCTATTTACATCATAGTATAGTAGAAGAGGGAGTTACTCCCCTCTTTCTAACTTATGCTTACATACAACACTGAGCTTCATTATGAAGTGGGGAAATGGGAGGGAAATAAGGGATGGGAAAGGACAGGGGGAGAGGARTCGAGTACATTAGTAACAGGTAATAGAAAATGTGTAGTTCCAGAAATTATCCATACCCACCCCACAGAGGAATTTGGAATTTCCGAAGAGTGGGGGTRTCAGAGAAAGAACAAAAATTACAGAGTTTGTATGGAAGAAAATTGGAATTTCTGGGGGGTAGGGGGTGTCATAAAAGAATTCCTCCATGAGAGGGACCGTATGGATAGTTTTTGGAACTACACAATAACACAAAATCCTTGACAATAATAATAAATTCAAAATGAAAGGTAGGTTGAGTATACAGTATTCACAAGTACCACAAACATAAATACACCTATTTTCAGAAATGGGCAATCTGAAACTAAAATGAATTTTTGTGCTTTTATCTTTTCTGTCTAAAATACAAAAACACATTTTTCTAACTCAATCTAACTCAAATGTCATGATTCATACTCCAATTTATATTTTCCTAATTGAATTATAATCCCACAAATGGCTACACAGTATCTGTTTTAGAGTACTACAAGGATTATGAGGCAATTCTCTATTCTTTTCACAGGACAGTAAACTATCCATAAAAATTATCCATACCCCCCTCCCCTGCAGAGGCATCTCCCTACCCCTGCAAATTCCAATTTTCTTCCATACAAATTCTGTAATTTTGTTCTGTATCTGACCACCCTACCCCCTACCCCTTGGAAATTCCAAATTCCTCTGTGGGGGGGTATAAGGATAATTTCTGAAACTTCTATTCTTTTCACAGGACAGTAAACTATCCATAAAAATTATCCATACCCCCCTCCCCTGCAGAGGCATCTCCCTACCCCTGCAAATTCCAATTTTCTTCCATACAAATTCTGTAATTTTGTTCTGTATCTGACCACCCTACCCCCTACCCCTTGGAAATTCCAAATTCCTCTGTGGGGGGGTATAAGGATAATTTCTGAAACTACATTACACAATACTCCATTTTACAGTTCCATTCAGTGACCATGAATAATAGTTCCAGCCGAGGCTGGAGTTTCCGCGCATAGCAAAGCTACAGTTTATCATGCACTGTAACTCTACAGCTGTAGGAATTATTATTCGTGGTCACTGAATGGAACTGTAAAATGGAGTATTCAGATAATCTGACAGACAAATTTTTTTGAAATATGTGACTGTATACTTGGTTTATCTTTCATTTTGTATTTACTAATAAACAGCATATCAAGTAACCACACCTCTTGCGCTGCAATAAAATCTCTGAAAAACACAAACACATGCTTGTCTTTGATTCCTGCAGCTTCTTTAAACTCTTCATAATCCTTCTTATATCCATCTATATTGGACATGAGAAATGCTGTACTTAGGGCACTGTGAGCCCATTTCTTGATTGCCATACAGTAATGGGAATTGGGATATATGCTCTCGTCTTTTTCAGGACAGGTCACCATGGTAACAACGCCTTAATAAAACATAACACATCAATGGATTACTTGGACGATACGGCAGCCATCTTGCCAGGGGGATAAGCAAAACAAAGGTGACAGAACATTTATAGAGTTTCATGTGTTTGTCTTTCTTTCATGGGTAAAGGTGATCGATGTGCCGTCTTAATCCAGTTTTTGTTGTATTCTCTCGTGGTGAGATTTTAATATCAATCAACATCAATCATCACTCTAACAAAGCTTTATTTGCCCCCCTGGATGCAAAAAAAATGGCCTGGGATCCAAGATGGCTGCTGTTTCGTTGAAGTTTTCCAGAAATAGGACTGAATGCAACCCAATACAGTCTGTGATTATACAAGTGATCAACAAAATTGGACGACTGCATAAAATATAAGTGTAATGATATATTTTTATATATTTGATGATAGTTCTGTGTGGGTAAACCAATAAAATAACATACCAATAAATATACAAAAGTTTTACTGGGAATTCGAGGAAAACGAAAAATAGAGCAGTTTCGCTGCCAATCAGATCATTAAGGAAAATTGTAATAGATATGATTAAGAAAAAATCTTTCTGAAGAAGTTGAAAATATTGCCATATATTAAGCCAAATAAATAATAAGCCATATAAATAAGCCAAATTGGAACTTCTCTAGTCAAATCTTTGCCTTGGTGGTGATTTTATCCACTAATTTTCAGCCAGAAGGGAGTTAAAACTAAGTTAAAACTAATTTGGCTGGGCACAATAGAGTACACAAGTGATGTTAAATCAGCTGTTGAACAGGAAATGGAAGGTCCAGGACCTTGTGAAGTTCATAGATTGAACGTTCCCAKAAATATTGTGTACGATGTGATGACTGAAGTGAATCGATCCAGAAGCACTAAAAGAGCATGGAGGTGTTGGAAAACCAAAACRACCACCAAGAACAAAAGTAAAAAAACACAGTAAAAAAGTGAAAACAAAAACAAAAACATTGGGAAAAAAATCAAAAAAGATCAAAAATTTATAACAATGTCTAGAACAACATTATGGCTTCAATGGGCCACCATAGATGTTGTCACAAAATTTAATTTTCGCTTGATCATATTTTTGGGTAACAAATGTGATAGACAATCAAAAAAAGACGTTTACACGCCAAATTTGACGAGAATCGAGCAAATATCAGCTGAGATATGACCAATTGTATACATAATTACTCCATACAAATCACTGCATTTTCGGCTCGATTCCAAACAATTCTCGTCAAATTTGGTGTGTAAACGTCTTTYTTGATTGTCTATAGAAATTAGAGATCGAAAAATAATTAAAGTCAAAATTTATTTTTTTGTGACATCACACTTGAGTACTCTATTAATAGACCTATTCTGAGGTACAGAATGCAGTGCATTGTGGTATATCTGGGGTACAAACATCTTTTGTTCATCATACCTTATATCTTGTGGTTTGTACTGAAGCTAAACCATTATACATCATGATTATCGAATTCAGAAAAGGCCTCTGGCTAGCAACTGTATCAACTGGCAGTTTAATATCCTGTTACTTTACTCACTAGCCAGGACCACGGCCACTTCAAAAATTTGAGATGAATTTTTTTTAAGCCAATCACACCCACTTATTCCCACAGTTGTTGATAACATCAAAGTTTTTTTCTTAGATATCTAGTCTTTGTTGCTTGATCCTGATTGGTTTAAGTTTGACTTAAGTTTGATTCCTTTGTTTTCATTCTATGTCGTGATTGGTTAACTTCCAGTGGTCCCAGTCAGTGTATCAGCACAGTGGGCCTTTAGCATAAGCAATATTACCTTTAACATTTTGTTGTCCATAGAGACCAGCTATTACACAGCGGGCTGAGTCTATTGTCCTTTGCATATTGGATGTCCGAACACTAAATCAAGTCAACAAATTATGTTAGACAATGATCCATCAATTCATACCACATCTTTTATTCAACGTGTGGCGATATATCAGGTCCATAGCCAGACCAAAATGCAAAGGGGGGAGCAACTAGAACTAGGTGGGTTCAGGGGAATGTGCCCCCAAAATTTTTGAAATTGAGACCCTTGGAAATGCGATTTTATAGAGTGTTGAGGAGCATTTGAGACAATATTTACTGAGGCAACTACCTTGTCTGCCTCATATTGCCTACGGCCCTACATACATGTATTACCTACTTTTAAAAAGGATGAAGGGGCAAACAGGGATAGCAATGAGTGATTGGCATTTATACGACCAAAAGGCACCTGGAGCATTATTTAACATCTAAGCACAATGAGGTGATTTAAATAGTTTTGTCGACAGTGCATGTCGACTACAGACAACACTAAAATATCTCAACAATAGCATCTGTGTTAATGACAAAAACAATAACACCAGTTATTCAATAATTCTCTTTTTTTTTCCTTGTAGTTTTCCTCCCTCTCTTAAAATCAATGTTAATTCGCCTTTTGAGCGCTAGCCGTCATGTGGTATATAACGTGTTGGATTGTGTTACAGTCACCAAGAAGTTCAGACATAGTTCTCGGGTTGTAATACAAATTCACTGACTTTAAAAGAAAATTCATCTGAAAAGCAGCAAGAAAAGCTGCCAACAAACAACTCTACTTACATACAACACCAAGCCAACCTCCCCTCCCAACACCACTGGCCTATACACACTAAGCATTGGCTATTATTCCTTTAGTCATAAACACTAAACAAAGCTAGGGCTCACAAATGCATCACTCACTATATTTCTTGAGGAACAAGCTGTGGATGTAACAACTCCACCTCCTTAATGTATCTTCTATGTAGATTTTTCCCCAGGTCATACATCTGTCGTTGACCTAATTTAGTCAACTGGCCTGCTTCACTGCCTCCCTGTAAAACAACAGCATTAACACTTAAAATGATAAGTGATGGCTACACTGGATGATGTGTGTTTGTTTGTTTGTCTCTCTTTGGTCAACTGGCCTGTTTTGCTGCCTCACTGTAAACGACTGCATTAACATTTAAAATGATAAGTGACAGTGACACTACCACCAGCCCAATTAGCTCAGTTGGTAAGAGCGTCAATCTGTTGTGCGGGAGGCGGTGGTTCAAGCCTCATCCGGACCAATACCCATGGACATACTAATTTAACACTTTTCCTAGGCACCCGGAAAATTTTTTTTTTCATGATTTGCATATAAGGCCAAGAGAAYAAGAGTCAGATTGGCATCCATTGTCCACATGCATTTTTTTGAAAGCTGAAAGCTACTGCCGAAAATTCCAATATTTACAAAAGAAACTTATTATTTCCACAGAAAAGGTAATCGCCACCCAAAGTCATCAACCCAAGCAAATTTTTTTCCGCGCGTGGGTTACCTGTGGTGTGGTATTACTTGATTACCTCACAGGGGGGAGTTAGTGCTTTTAATGGGGGGGGGGATATGTTTTTGGAAACAAGTAATCTTAGGGGGGTAAACTGTTATTTACGAATAAAAAGAGGGGAAGTAATTTAGTGGGGGGGGGGGGG